GAAATGCACCATGAAGCTTTGAGTGAAGCCCTTCCTGGGGACAATGTGGGCTTCAATGTCAAGAATGTGTCTGTCAAAGATGTTCACTCTGGCAGTGTGGCTGGTGACAGCAAAAATGACCCACCGACAGAAGCAGCTGGCTTCACAGCTCAGGTGATTATCTTGAACCATCCAGGTCAAAGCAGTGCTGGCTATGCACCTGTGCTGGATTGTCACACAGCTCACATTGCTTGCAAGTTTGCTGAGCTGAAGAACATTGATCATCGTTCTGGCAAGAAGCTGGAAGCTGGCGCCAGACACTTGAAATCTGGTGATGCTGTCCTTGTTGATATGGTTCCTGGCAAACCCATGTGTGTTGAGAGCTTCTCTGACTATCCTCCTCTGGGCCATTTTGCTGTTCGTGACATGAGACAGATGGTTTCTATGGGTGTCATCAAATCAGTGGACAAGAAGGCAGCCGGAGCTGGCAAGGTCACCAAGTCTGCCCAGAAAGCCCAGAAGGCTAAATGTATATTATCTCCAATACCTGCCACCCCAGTCTTAATCAGTGGTGGAAGAACGGTCTCAGGACAGTTTGTCTCAATTGGCCATTTAAGTTTAATAGCAAAAGACTGGTTAATGATAACAATGCATGGTAAAACCTTCAGAAGGAAAGGAGAATGTTTTGTGGACCATTTGTTTTGTGTGTGGCAGTTTTAAGGTATTAGTTTTTATTTTTATTTTTATTTATTTTTTTTTTTATTTTTTATTTTTTTCCTTGCGTTATGCGGGCCTCTCACTGTTGTGGCCTCTCCCATTTGCGGAGCACAGGCTCCGGACGCGCAGGCTCAGTGGCCATGGCTCACGGGCCCAGCCGCTCCGCGGCATGTGGGATCTTCCCGAAACGGGGCACGAACCCGCGTCTCCTGCATCGGCAGGCGGACTCTCAAGCACTGCGCCACCAGGGAAGCCCAAGGTATTAGTTTTTAAAATCAGTACTTTTTAATGGAAACAACTTGACCAAAAATCTGTCACAGAATTTGAGACCCATTGAAAAAGTTTAATGAGGAGAAAAAAAAAAAGTCTAAGCAGCAGTTTTTGAGCAACGTCAGAGCTAGCAGGGAGCCTTCAGTTCACCTTACCTCTTTGCTTTACAAATGAAGAAACTGAGACCCAGGGGACGGGAAAGACTAGATCATCCAACGTCATCAACCTACATGCCTGGATATTGGCTAAGCCAGGGCTGAAACCCAGGTTTCCAGCCCTCAGGCCAATGGATTTCTATACCACAACCACCAACCCAGCAGCCCTCACAAGACCCTGTCACAAAAGAGCCATACAGCAGGCAGATTTCACTTCCCTGATGCATGTGGCAGTAGCCACGCAATGATGAAAATGATCCCAAAGGAAATTTCTTAGCTGGGAGTCCTGCAGAGAACCAGAATGGGACTTGGAAAAGAACTAAATTCCTTCTGGGGTATTTCAGCCAATGGGAATGGAGCCCAGAAATCACTGATGTTTTCTGTTTGGGGAGATTTTTTAAATAGCTATCTTTGAAGAATGAAGAGTGGCTACCATGCTGCTGGGAAAATGAAGCCATTGCTTTGCAAGATATATGCGGAGAAGAAAAGAAACGATGCTACATATATTAAAATAAACTAGTTCTTACTCTTGGGCTGGAACGTTAACCCTTGCCTTCCATTTTTTTCCTAAAGTATTTACCAACAGAACTGAAATCACAAAGAGAAAGCCCTTCAGGACTCAAAGGGGAGGCTGCCAATTGAAAGGAAAAGGAGGAGAAAGTAGAGGATGAGCATTCAATCTCATCAGAAAGAAGAGAATGAATATGGGCTTCGTATATGGAATGTCACAGATAGTGTATTATTTATTCCTTACAATAGTCCTCCATGGCAGATTGATTATTCCCATTTCAACAAGGAGGAAAACTGGGGCTCAAGGAGCTTAACTAATTTTCCTAAGGCCATACAGCTAGTAAGTAGCAGAACTAGGACTCAAGTCTTTCTTAACCCCAGATTTCATGATCTTGCCTTACTCCACGCTGTACAGTGCAGCTCAACTTTCGTACTTTCTCTAGTACTCCAGTTTCTTCTCCATAAAATAAGGGCACTCAATCAAGACATCTCTAATCTGTCTCACAGCAAATCATCCTTAGTTGGTGATCTTCTGGGTTTGCAGGACTCCTGAGCCCCAAGAAGAGTTCTCCCATTGGGCTTTTCCGCCATCCTGCTGAGTTGAAGGAAGTGATCAAGGAAGCACTTCTTGCTGACCCTACACTAAGGATTGCAGCCTCTGGAACACCATTTCAAGTGCCTGTAGGTCTCCTCCTGGCTTGAACATCAAGACCAATGCACAGAAGCACCAGTGGGAGAGGCTTGGCATCCTGGAATGTCCCTGAGTTTATTTATAAAACCTAGGGTACATCTAACAAGGTCATCATGTGGCATGTGGCCATGTGTGCAAAGAAAGAACTGCCCTAGAGAAGTCTTTGCCAAGACAAGAGCTAAGCTGTGAGTAAGCCTAGCAAGTATGAGGGACAATAAGGGAGACGGAGGAGGTGTTTGTAGATGGTAGACATCTTCCTACAGAGCAGGAAGAGGCTTAATGCTTTAGGAAAGTGTTCCGGAGTAAACCCAGTCGAGGGTTGGACCCTTGCTCTACCACTACCTGGCAGTGGGGACTGGAGTAAGTCACTTCCAAGCCGTGATAACACTCTAGCAGGAAGTATAGCTATAGACAAGTAATTACAACCAAGCTTGATAAGCATCTGGCAAGGGTGGCAGAGCTCAAAATTGGAGATTCTCAGAGCAGGATAAAGCCATGCGGCAGGTGGTCAGGCAGGAGCAGGGAGGTTTGAGGGAGGGTCAAGTCCCCAGGGAGTGAGTGGGGAAGCTGTGCCCAAGTCCTAGAGAATCCACGGCAGGTCATCAAGGAAGATCTCTGGGCTCATTATTATAAGCCTGAGTGCAGAAGGAAGCCTATTCCTCAGTTAGGAGGCATTACACCAGGCAGCTCAGGTGGATCACCTGGGGGTCTTATTCTAATTTCAGATGCTCAGGCCCCACACCCAGAAATTCTGATTCTGCTGGCCTCAGGTGGTGGCTGGGTGCTGACATTTCTTTAAAGGCTCCCCAGGATTTCTGAAGTACAGCCAAGGCTGAGAATATCTGCAGTAAGCAGAGATCTCTGAGAGACACGGCCTACCCCTTAGTGCTCGCTGGATCCCAGCACCCAAATCAGGCCTTGCCAGAGAGAAGGCACTCAGGACATGCCTCCTGGATAAAGGAATGAATACTTGTGTACGTGAAGCAAAGTAAGTCACCAGGCAGTTACTAGAACCAGAGCAAGGGCAAGAGTAAGACTAATCTTGCTGAGTCCCGTGGATGGCTGACCAAGGGCTGCCTGAATCCCTCCTGACTATGTACACGGTTGGCCCAGACCTTGAAGCTGGAGCTAGATCAAGCTTTATATGGGGACCCCAGAAAGGGGAGAGAGGGGATGGGAGGGGTGTCCAACAGCCCATTACAGATCAGGGACACTGGTGAATCCCAAGCACACAGTAATGACTACTAAGCCTGATTGAAGAAATCCCATCTTTATTAAAGTATCCTGTCTTTATATAAGTGGCCCTCCTCCCTCCACCACTACAGACGGTGGGTGGTGACTTCCCATTAGAAAGGGGAGCAGTGGGGGAAGGAGAGTCAAGTTATTAACAAAGGTGAGGTGGACGAGGACCCTCAAAGGTACAGGGTGGTGTGCCACTTCCTGCTTTCTGCCTCCCTTCCCCAAACCACACCCTGTACCCCTACCTCTCCTCCCTTTCTACACCATATGATCCCATCTGAAGGTGATTAGGATTCTCTCACATATCTATGCATTTCTCTAGGGCAAAACACTTCCCATCCTTCATGCTCCCTCTCTTACTAATGGCCCCCCATCCCTGTGGTTCTAGGTGGACAGCTGATCTTTGGTGAGCGGGCCCATGCCTGGCCCATATGGGGAAGCCTCTCAACGAGGGTTCCAGCAAATAGCTCAAGAAGCCAGGCCCCTCTTCCGGTACTCTGACCATCAGAACCACTGAGAATCAGTCCAACTTGGTCCCTGAACTCTGAAGACTCTTCATTATAATGGAGAGTCATTATATTTGTTTCCTAGGGATTTTGTGCTTTGCTTCTAACATTCTACCTTCTGAACCTCTCCTAAATTCTCTGATGGTTCATGTGCAGTGGGTGGGAAGCCTAGCTCTATGGGACTCCACCCCAAGCACCATCTGGGCACCAGACAGGCCCCAGAATTCACCCTGAGTGGAGGGAAGCCAGAAACTGGGAGTGTGGAAAACAGAAGCAAGGGACCCCGCGTACCCAGGAGCAAAGGGGCAGCCTAGTGCCTCCACCTCTCTCCCTTCAAGAGGAACCTCTGCTGTATGCATGGAGACGGAGCTATGGATGAGACTCATACACCAGGCAGAGGCTAATGTAAGGCTGCAGCTCCGGGTGTGGGCAATAATGGAGGGTAGGGCTGGGGTTAATGAGAAAGCAAGTAGGAGCTCATTGCTGTGGAAAGGCCCCTTGAGATCACACCTAGCCCTGTAATTTTCAAACTTTTTAAACGCAGTTGGACCTTTTTCATACGAAACTCTTAAATAAACTCCATCTAACATGGAGCTGCTCTAGAGGAGGAGGTAGGAGTTGGGGATGGGCAGTTTGACCATGATGGGAAACGCACTCACTCACCCCTTCCAAATCCAAAAGCCCCGAGGCACCTATGCAGAACGTTGGGGTCCTGGGCCTCACTTTGAAAAACCAATGATCTAGCCCAAACCCTTACTTTTATAGATAGAAAAGCAGGGTGATTTGTCCTGGGTCTCCACTGAGTCAGTGGTGGCACCGGCGCTAGAACTTATCCCCACTCCCAACCCAGGTCTCTCTTCACCCCCTCCCACCAGTTGGCTGGCCTCTCAGGCCTTGGGCCCCTAGCATCCGCCTGGGCCCAACAAGGGAATCTTAGACGGAGCTGTGGAAGGAGAACTGCAGGTAGATGGTCAGCAGCAGGACCGTGGCCCAAAACAAGCACCAGGGGATGGAGCAGAAATTGCGGCCAGAACCCGCCGCGGCCTGCGGCTTGGTGGGCCTGGGAGCCCGGGAGAAGGTGTAGGTTGTCGCGTCCTCCTCCAGCAGCTTCTCGCTGGGCTTCCAGTGCACGGTGCCCTCCTGGCAGGCCTCGCAGGACTCTCCGCGGTGCCGCCGGCTGTCTTGGCGGCTGGCCACGTGGATGCGGCACCGGCCGCCGCTCTCCGCGTAGCACTGCTCGCGCAGGCTGGTGATGAGGTTGCCCACCAGGCTCTCGGTGTCCTCCAGCAGGCTCGACGCGTCCAGCCGCGCCGCCGCGCTCGCAGCACAGCTGCTTGAAGACGCGCATGCGCACCGAGCCCGCCCGCTGGGCGCCGTCCAGGTCCATGTGGAAGAGGATGACCACGTGGGGCGACTGCCAGGTGTGCCAGCACCAGGAGCCGTGGAACCTGTGGAGACGAGGAGTGGCAGGAGGAGAGGACGGAGTGGAGGCGGTGGAAACAGATCCAGGAGGGAGAGGTAAGGGGCAGTAGGCAGAGCCTGGAGGTAGAGGTGTTGTGTTTACGGCCCCCTGGGATCATTAGCTTTCCCCAGGTGGCTTCCCAGCCCGCCCCCTTGTGTGCTCTGCTAGGAGCAGAGTAGGCGCCTCAGGAGGCAGCTGGCATCCAGCAGCACTCTGCCACCACTGGGCCCCCCCTCTGTGCTCTGCAGAAGCCTCAGTGCCCTCCATTTCAACGCCCTCAGGCCTTGCCTTTGGGCCTTTGGCTCTGGGCACCTTTCCTCATCTGTAAAACATGCACGTTGCACTAAGAGTCCTTCCTGCTCAAATATCCTTTGAGTCTGATAGCAGGGATGGCCCGCACCACAGAGAAAACGCAAGCTCCATCCACACACTCTTACCTGTCAACACTGACTATGAACTGGCTAGACCCAAATCCAGAGAAAATGACACCATTATCAATTCTCAGCCTCTGGGCCGGTGCCAGGGTTAATGTATCTGAAGGCCTGGAAGTGGAGGCAGTTCATGCCCAGAGTGAGCTAACTGGGGCCAGCTGGGGTTCTCAGGTCATCAGCCAGGTCGGGAGGATGCACAAGCCCTCCCCACTCAGCCCCACAAGCCTTCCAGGTCTTTGAGAAGCTCCTGGGCCCTGACAGAGAGTGTCTGGTCCTTTGCATCCCTCCCATCAGCTGGTTAAGGGGCTCCACATCTCCATTCTCATCTCTTCTCGTTTACTCACACCCTTTGGGGACTGTTTCCCCTCTCCCAAACTAGACTACAAAACTTGGAATGGAAAATGTCAAAACTGGAGGGAGGGCTTCCCTGGTGGCGCAGTGGTTGAGAGTCCGCCTGCCGATGCAGGGGACGCAGGTTCGTGCCCCCGTCCGGGAGGATCCCACATGCCGCGGAGCGGCTGGGCCCGTGAGCCGTGGCCGCTAAGCCTGCGTGTGCGGAGCCTGTGCTCCACGACGGGAGAGGCCATAGCAGTGAGAGGCCCGCGTACCGTAATAGAAACAAAACAAAAACAAACAAACAAAAGAGCTGGAGGGACCTTAGAAATCACCTAATTAACCTTTGTTTTACTCTGAGGCAAAGAGAGTAAGACAGCTGTATACACAGTGAGTTAGAGGCAGAGCCAGTATCCAACACCTAACAGGTACCCAGTAGATGTTTCTTGAATTGAATAAATTGAACTAGGGAAGGAAAGAAGGCCTTGCTTCTGACCCCCAGGCTGCACCACTCAGCCTCCGAATCTTATGTCCCAGAGGTAAGTCTTTACATAATCCACCCATGGACAAGAGTGCTGGAAAGTCATCTCAGACATTATTGTGCATATGAATCACCTAGGGACCTTGCTGAAATGCAGATTCCGATTCAGCAGGTCTAGAATGGGGCCCAAGATTCTGCATCTTTAACAAGTTCCAGGTGATGCTACTGATGCTGGTCCATGAACCAAGAGGCAAGGATCTATGCTAACCCCTCCTTCCACAAGTGGGGAAAGTGAGGTCCAAGAAGGAAACTGAATTTCTCAAAGGTCATAAAGAGTAGAGCTGGTTTCCAGCACACCTCAGGTGTTCAATATTTTATATTAAGTCAAGCTGAATTAAATAGATTGAAACTGAACTGGTCCAGGACCAGAACATAGGTCTCTTGACCCACAAGCCCCCCACTTCTCTTGGCTTTCAGTTGTGTTAAGTGGTTATTAAAATATAAAAATATGTAAAATACCAGCGTTTAGAACTAATAAATATATTTCACCTCTGTTTCCAGAAGGGGAGACCATGACTCAGAGAGGGAAAGTTACCAGGTGCTCAGCGGAAGAGCTGGAATCAAACTTAGGTGTCCCAACTCCCAGTAGCTACTCTTTCTCTGCCTCCCAGTCAGTGAGACTGACCCCTGGCACCTGGGTTCCCCATGTTTCTGTCTTTTCTTGGAAGGTGTCCCAGGGGCTGCCTGCAGGGCTCCTACTTCCTGGGCTACTCACCTGCCTGAGGCATGCAACTCCAGGTACTGCTTCCAGCCTGGGGCTAGCACATTGTGCTTGAGGTTGGGATCGATGATGAGGTCCCAGCTGTCAGCAGGCTTTGCCGCCTCCATCTTCTCGTAGACGATTTTCTTCCATTCGCCTGTGGTCACACTTTTACACATGGTCTCGTCAGTGGTGAGGGAGGGCAAGCTCCACTTGAGTGAGAACACGGGAAGTGAGGGCAGGTGCAAGGCAGGGCAGCGCAGTCTCCACGGCCTAGAAATCCTCATCAGTAGGACCTGGAGGAAGCAGGACCCAGCTCCCTCCTTTGTCAGCAGTGGAACCTGTTTCCACGGCAACCAGGCAGGGAGCCAAGAGACAGGTTGGGAAGGAGGGAGTCTCTGAAGGAGTGTTTCAGGGCCCCCAGACTGAGGCTGCAGAGGCAGGGTTTGTGGATCTAAGTGACCCTAGACAGGGTGGGGGGCCTGAAAGAAGGCTGAGCTTCAGACTGTCTCACTCTGGCCTGCCAAGGGCATGCACGAGGACCTGGGAACTGGCTCAGCTTTACCTCGCTGCCACTGGAGGTATCATCAGCATCTGGCTGCTATGGTAACCATGATGCCTTAGGGAGCCAAAGAGAAATAAGGGATGGGAAGATGTAGACCTGTTAATAGATGCAGCAATAATAATAAACCCTCTTTCTGCACCCTCACCCATCTTGTGACCAGCACTTTGCCATTTACGAAAACTACGGGAGGTCTCTTGACCCACAATTGTTATTGCCACTGTACAGATCAGGAGACTGGGACTCACCTAGCTTATAAATGGCAGAGCTTGTAGCCAAATCCAAGCTATTGAGCCCCTACTGATTCATTAATTCATTGGTGTCAAACATACCCATGTGCCAGGCTCTATATATGCCAGATGGTTGTAACTGGGTATGTACCCGGTAACCAGAATGCAATAAGATCCATGCTGTGACAGCCATGTATAAGAGCAGCCACCTGTGCACAAAGGTGGGAGCCACTGCATCAGCCTGGAAGGAATAGAAAAGATAATTTTCAACTTGATTATAGAAGAGGAACATAATATCCATAGGAAAAACAACCTTTACTATTGGTGCCCCTTTGGCTATTTTTTAATAAATTATTTTTCCTTTATAAAAGTTATACAGGTTTATTATAGAAAACTTGGAAAATATAGATAAAATAAGGCAAAAGTAAGACTCTTCCTAATACCCATGCTCAAGATAGTCACTGTTAATATTATGATGCACACACCCTGCCTGCTATTTTCTGTACATGTATGTGTGTGTAGATATATACATGTGTATGCATGTATGTGTATATATACACACACATTCTACCTAGTACACTGCGATCTATTTTTTTTTAAATAACAATATAGCACAGATATTTTTCTAGATCATTTTCTAGGTCTAGGTCTTTAATATTATTCCAGCTTGGAGGCTGCCTATATGCTGTTATATGGTTGGGCATAATTTATTTAGGCAACCTTCTATTTGGGAGCATTAATTTTTTTCAATCTCTCACAGTTACACTCTTGCTTCCTATTTGAGTAAAACTTACTGCTGAAGCTCATGGACCTGCATTTCAGGCATCAGAGATGATGCTTTCTGCAGTTGGAAAACACACCCTTGACCCTACTCTCTGCAGAAGCTTGGTGTGGCTAGCAGAATCTGAGCAGGCTCTTCAAACAGTATTAACTTGTAGACAGCCTACAGATCCTGAAGTTTAGGGATGAAAAAGAAGGGCCTAGATCTCCCATCTGATTCTGGAGACTATCTTCCACATTCTCCTCCTGCCTCTGCATGAATGCTTGATGCCTTAGCATCCTTTATTTTAGCCTCAGTTTATTCAGATTGGCAATGGGATAAAAAAAAAAGAGGCAGTGTCTCTAGTTAAAAGCAGGACCTCTGGAATTACTTGCATGGGTTTTTTTTTTTTTTTTTTTTTTTGGAATGCTCTTATATCCTCATAGGTAGCTATTCTAATATATTTAATATGTAGCATTTCAAAATGTATGTTGATGTTTTATGTGAATATATTTTTAATTTGCATAGTAACAGCAATCACTATATAGCACTTACTATGTATCAGGCATTTTTCTAAGTGCTTTATACATATTAATTGAGTTCATCTTAATAATAATCTCTATACATAGGTAATAGCAGCAGCAGCTCCATTTTGCAAATACGTAAGATAAGGCAGAGAGATTAGATAACTTGCCCAAGATTCAACAGCTAATAATTAATGGAACTGGGATTTGAACCTAAATGATTGTTTCCAAAGCCCCAGCTTAATCACTACACTGCTCAGCACAGGACATCAAAACAAAACATTTGCTAAATAAATGTGTCTTTCTACCTTCTCATCACTGGATATGGTCATTCCAGACTCAGAGAACTGAAATTCATATCCTTTCGGCAAATAGTTCAGTAGGCCACCCTGAGGCCATAGCCCCTGGATAGAGAAGTGAGTGTATTTAACCCACCAGGTTCCCTGTTATCACTGCGGATGCCTCCTTTTCTGCTGAGCTTCATGGAGCAAGTGTCCACAGACCCCTGATACCCAATGTAACGATTTTAGAGCTGAAAGAGGAATTCAGCTTGAAATCTTACCAAAGGAAATACAGTGCAGAAAGCCATCTCTAGGAGCACCATTCCTGTGAAGCCGTAATCATTTGATGACAGGCACCCAAGTTCAGTGGAGAGAACACTGAACTGGAAGGCAGGATATGTCAATATATATCCCAGCCCTGCTACTGGCTGGCTTTGTGACCATGGACAAGTCACTTCTCTTGGTCTCAGTTTGTTCATTTGTTCGATGAAGAATTAGACTAGATGGCAAGGCTGAGGTCCCCTCTGGCTGTAGCCACGTATGAATTCAAAGAGCTTTATACTTAGAAACCTGAATCCTTGGAGGGCAGGAGGTCGGATGGAGGCCACTGGATGGAAGAGGGATGCTTCTAATGAGGCATTGCAGGTAGTGCCTGGAGTCAGGCTCTGTCTCCTTGGGGGCTGCTACATAGTTGAAGATCTCTGTGGAGGTGTCACTCCACTAGCTTTGTACTGGCCACAGTAAGGACAGAAAATAAATTGGAGCCACTGAACGTTAACACTAGAAGGGATTTTAAAGTTCATTAAACTTTTTATCCTTCAAGTCAGTATTCTTGCTTCTGAATTCAGGCAATCAATACTCAGAGAAGTAACTGACTTAACCAGTCTCAGAGGTGTGATGGGAGCTGTCTCACGTTGCAGCCACAGGCCAAGGAGAGAATGGAAACTGAGGACATTTCCAGAAAGTATGTAAAGCTGATAGAAGCTTTTAGCACTTGCCCTGGAGCCAAAGTGTATTACCCAGCACCAGGAACAAATTCTCTAGAAATATTTTTGCAGTCGTTGCTACAATAAACATTATGATGAAAACAAGAACACAGAAGGTAAGAATCACCAGAGGTGCGTGTGTGTGTGTGCGCGTGCGTGTGCGCACATGTGTGTGCATAACCAGCTGATGCAATTCCCATTGGCACAAATTAAGTTTAATTTAGAACCTGAGCTTACTATGCAGAGAGCAATGTAATACATCCTTCTGTATAGCAGAATGTTTTCTCTAATAAAATCATATTTCTATCAAGACAAATAACCCTGTGGTATTGGAACTTGCTCTCTATCAAATGAACTCTGATATCATGATATCCACAATTTAGAGATTGCCAATCTGTAATTGACAGGGTTCTTAGACTCTTTACTCAATAGAAATTGATAAGAGGCCAAATGAGAAATTCAGGCAAGGCTTTACTGGGACTTGTGCTGCAGCAGGAGGGAGTGAAAACAAGTAACGGGTTCCCTTGCTCACTGCCTGAGGGGGGCAGCGAGCTGGTTCCTTATATGGGGCAAGGGTAGGGGTGGGTCCAGGGGTCGGGCCAGAGGGGGTGCTTAGGTGTTTTGCCCACCCCTTTGGTGGTGTTGAGTGCAGGGGGCATGCACAGTACGCTGCTTTTACTCTGGACTCCTCAGAAGTGGCACTTGGGTTTTTAGTCTTTTTGTATCTTGTTGTTCATAATTTGCCCCAACTGTGCATGTGCGCAGTTATTTTTAGTCCCTTACAGTTTCTTCATATTTTGTTGCTTGAGGAGACATTTGTCCAGGTGCAAGCACTACAGCAAAGGGTCCCAGGTCCCAGCCTGTCTCAAATCTAGACATCTTTAAAGCCAATGACCTCACCTTGGCTAGTTTCTTACAGTTTGTGACCACAATTTAAATCCATAAAATGGTTTAAAACTAAATCCCCAACTAGAAAATAGAGTGGTAGGGGAAAAAAGAGAGAAAAGAAAGAAAACCATGTCTCTAATTTGTTATTTGGCTCAATAAGAAATATTTTATAAAGTTTATTATTGCTTATCAAAATGTTATTAAAAAACATTGTCACTGTTGAAACAATGCACTAGTGACAAGTGATTCTCAACCAGGGACAATTCCATATCCCTAAAGGGCATTTGGGAAGGAAGGGTATGTTTGGGGGTTGGATCAGTGACTAGAAGTATCTGCTGGCACACAGTGCCTGGAGACCTAGGATCTAAATGTACCTGACAGTTCCACAACAAAGAATTTTCCTTCCCAGAAAGACCTACCTTTGCTGAACCCAAACAGTAAGCCCCTCCATGATCTGTTGATTCACTGGGATAAAGAGCCCAGATAGTAGTCTCAACTTCCAATTTAATGAAACAGTTGTTTTCTTCCTTGGTGGAAACATTCCTCCCTTGGGAACCAAGACCTCTAAACCAGCAGAGTCCAAAGTTGTCGGGGATAGGAAGCGAAGAATAAAACAAAAAAAAAAGTAAAATCACTACCATCAGAGGTAATTTTGAGGGAGCTTTTCCACCTCGGAATTCGTGGAGCTGAGGAAAACAGCATCAAACCTTGGTTGCTAATTCAGAGTATACACCACATCCTGGAGAACGGTACCCCGGCCCTGCAAGGTGCTGTCACCTAGATGGCTCCATAACTGAGCCTTCCAAAGGCCTCCCCACTGTTCACTGGGGCCAGCTGCTTCAGAGTGATGGGAGATACAGTAAAACAAATGAATTCCATGAGTATGAACCCATTGCCAGATTTCATTTGCTTTAAAATCAGTTCCTGGTCAGAAGCAATGCTATACAGAACATCACAGTAGCAAATAAGTTTATTCTCTAAGTTCACTGCTGAGTGTCCAAATGACAATAGCAGAGAACAACAGTGACCCCTTGAATGGGACATGATTCCATGGGG